CATTTGATTCACATCATCTGTATCTTGAATCTCTAGTAATTAATTTTAAAATTCGTATGTCTGTCAGCATTATTTTGCTTAACTTTTTTATGTGTTAAATTAGAACCTATGCATGAATGTAATATTTCACATTTTAAATTTATATATATTTTTTAAATAGTTTAACTTAAATGTTAATGATTTAAATTTTTTAATGGTACGGTCTTAAAGATCTATTAAAAGTGTTTAATAGTAATAGGTATTACGTCATAATATGAAGTCTTAGGTTTTCCCTCCCCATTTCATTCCTTTCCCCTTTCAATACCCAGGGTACTGTGTCTTAATAAGATTTCATAGGAGATGTTACACGACTGCTACACTAAGTTTAAGCTTTAGATTTCAGTAAAGATCTAAAAATAAACTTCCAGTTTTAAAATGGCGATTACACACAGCTCTGTATTTGAGAGGCATTCGTGACGAAAACACTCCTCAAGGCAACTGTGACCAAAACACTTCTTTTGTCGAGTTCCTCGTGGTAGTGCGGTAATATCTATCTCTTTGCTTTTCTCCCCTCCCATTTAAGTGTCTGTCTACGTTCAGGGATCATGAACGTTTTTTTCACTATGAAAGGATTAATATTAATCACGAGTTGTCAGTCACAGCGACGCCTACGATTGGTTGTTTCAAAGAGGAGGTAGTCCCTGGCATTTGAGTGCTTTACCTTAGTCTCTTAAAAAGATGGGAATATTCAGATTTCAAGTGGCAACGTTCCAAATGGAAGGGGAAGGATGTTTTTTATAGTCAAAAGCATTTTCACAGTTACATAGTTTATGGTTTTTTGTATTTTATTTTTACGCTTGAATACATATTATTGCGTATATTTTATAAGTACAGCTACCAGAATGAATCGTGGAAATTACTCTTTTCATTTATAAATGATATCTACTACCACTTTAATTCTTAGTGAAGTGATCTAAGTGTAAAACGGATCCTAGGATATCACGTAAAAGGTATATATCTGCACGATCTAAAGTACACATGTATATGTTTCATGATATCAAATCATGAAAAAAATTTTAAACTCAGTTGCAACATTCCTTTAAATTCTTAAATTCAACTGCATATATTTCCTCTTCAAGGCTCCATATTATACCATGTTACAACACGTTTTCCTTGTAGTAACCACAACGCGAAATCTTTTGCCCAATTGGCTGCTCATGATTAGAACAAAGACTTACCTAGCTTATAAATACTGCTGCAATTATTACGCATCACTCTTTTGCTGCTTGCTCTGCCAAAGAAAGTCACATCTCTTCACTAAGTTTCCTTTTCTATGATCTAAAATGTCAACTGCGTATATAGAAATCGTAGGGCGCGTTTAACACCCCTAATGTTGTACAGTTGTAAGCAAAATGTATCTTTGAATAGTTGTTCCAGTTCAGAATACAAATGATGTTTTAATCACCAAGCCAGTTATGATTTTCGCTTCAGTCAGATTGCGCAGCACTTTTTCTCGGCCATGACTAAAAAGTGAATCGGTTTCACCTTCCTCAAAAATTACAACACCTCATACGTACAAAACAAAACGAATCTTAAAATAATTGCATACTTCGGATTATAATCTACATCTTGAAGAGTTTACCTTTAAAAGTTCAAAAAGATAACAAAAAACACTATTTTAATTTTAAAATTTAAAAACCGAAAATTAAAATGACATTGAATATGATCTTGGCATGCAGCTTTCATTTTAACATCTTAAATACTAATTTTAAGCTACGCAGTTACGTAAGGGTTAATAACTTGAGTATGAGTTCTCCAGAAATTAAAAATATACTGAATAACATTTTATATTTAAAATGAGTTGCTCAAAATCACAAAATTCAATGGTTGAAAAAAAAAGGAGCTCTATGGTAATTTTTGGTCATAAATTACTAAGATTTGGGAACTAAGCACTTAATTAGTAAAAAAGATATTTAATTATATAGATATAGCTGTATATTTATTTTACTGAATCGCTTGATCAGGAAGTTTGCAATAAATATTTATTTCCAGTAGCAATAATTTCCTTTTATTTCCCTAGGTTGCAAATCCGTTAACTGAAAACTATAAATACCTTGCAGATTTTATACCTTCCTGACGTTTAATAAAAGCATAGACCTTATCAATACGAATTTCAGAACTTTTTGTAAAATAATTCATATCTTTTTAAGTGCTCCGCTACTCCTAATGTCTTTTAAACAAGATTGCTTTAAATTAAAATGTTATTAAAAATCTTCATACGACTTGTAGTTGCTTCAGATTCAACGATAATTATCGTCACGTCTATTGGGACCAGTTTCTGATCTAGTAAAACCCAACAAGTTACTTTTGGTAAGAAACATTGCTATGTAATAGCTTTGCTTAACCCTTTCAGGACAGAGAGATTTTAGAAGATAACGCACTTTCTTAAGCTAACAATATCAGCCACACCTCATGGTAATGCAACTAAACAGAACAGTCAAATTTAAGTTAAACGTGTAGCAGTAGTCAAAGACTACAAAATTTAAATCTTACTCAATCTGGCTCAAAAATTCTACCAGAACCTCAAACGTCACAGGTTGGCAGCGAAATAATGCAAAGCTAAATTATTGCAACTGTCAAAGCCGCCAGGAACTTAACGTAACCTGCACTCGAAGCCAGAAACACGGTCTATCTCAGACTCCAAAAACCTCAGTTTAAACACTGGCTATCTCATTTGCATTATGGTGAGGAAATTAGAAAAGAGAAGTTACAGTAAAAGCTTGAAATTGTACATAATTGATTCATTTAAATAATAATCCCATAAACTATTTACTAATAGGCTGCATCTCTGACGTAACTATTGTTGCTAAACTTATGTATGTAAAAGTCTATGTAAAACTTCATAAATAATCCTGGCTCAGGTCATACGGTTATCATGAATCTTAAATCTTGAGAACATGTAGTGAAATGTATGATTAAGATCAATTCCATCTTAACTTTAAACGAAAACAACCCATATATCGTCTTTCCTTACTACCAGCCTGTCGCGTAGAATTTCGGATCGATGAATTTAAATTTCAACATTCCACAAAAATTAATATCGACACAAATTTTATCCCAGCTTCAGTCCAAAGAAGCTGTAATTTATTTTGCATCAATTGGAGAGACATGATTTAGTAAAAGATAATTTCTGAGAAAAGAACAGAATATTTCAACGAAAATATCCATTTTGACCGCCATCGAATGCAATTTAACGATGTTTTTGCTTGACATCTGTACGTAAAGACAGAATAAAGAACTCTTTTCCCAAAACGGATTGTAAAATGGATTTAAAATGGATTCAGAAAAGATTTTTTTTACGTGAAGTCTGTACGTACGTACTTACGTAACTATGTATGTATCTCGCAAAAGTTAGAAACAAATAGTTTGAGAACGTGGAAATTTTGCATATGGGACTGCTATAGAATTTAGTTGAGTACTTATCGCATACATTCTGTATTGATTAAAAGATTATTCTTTTATTAACCAGATTTTTTTTGTTTGCCTATATAATGCCTGTCTTAAGTTTACTCTTTTTTCCAGATTATTGGAAAATTTGTCGAATTATTTTGATCCCTAAGCCTAATGGAAAGCAAAGTCCAATTACACTTTTGAATGTTTTGGGTAAAGTTCTAGAAAAATTGGTAACTAATTGAATTTTACACTTTACGATTAATAAATGTCCACTTAAAGAGTTTCAGTATGGATTCACCTTTGGAATAGATACGGAGGATGCACTTTACCAGGTTGTTAGATATGTCAGACGTTTTAGGGGTGAACAACACGTAGCTTTGATTTCTCTAGACATTTCGGCGACATTTGACTCTGTTGATTGGTCTTCCTTGTTGAATGGTTTAATTGATTTAAAAATACCTAGAAATTTGTTTTATGTATTTAGTAATAGAAAAATTATTGTCAATTGTTTTAAGGATAATAGGAAAGACTTAGTAATGAATATTTATAAGGGATGGCCTCAGGGCTCCTGCAGTGCTCCCCTGCTTTGGAACATTATTGTGGATAACTTGCTGAAGCAGAATTTTTCTCAAAATGTGGAATTAATTACATATGCTGATGATATTATGATTCTTATAAAACACGATTCTCTTGAAAAAATTAAAAAATTATTTAATGAAACTGCTCTAATACTAAGTGATTGGCAAAACAAAGTAAAATTGCAATTTAATATTGATAAAACATGTGCATTGTTTTTTCCCCAGAGGAGGTAAAGAGACTATGCACATGTTTGCATTTCAAACTCAGTCAAATTGTGAATTAAGTCAGTTTCTGCACTTTCAGTGTCTTCTTGTCGATTGGGACCAAAGGGAAACTTTTAGTTTTGTGCACCGAAAAATCTGCCTCCTTGCCCGCTGGCCGAATTGCTTGTTTTTGCGTAGAAACTCTACTTTTAATTGTAAAAATTGTTTTTTAACTGTTTTTAACTGTATTTGGTGTTTTATGTTTTTCTATACTTTTTAAATTTTAACGAAGATGTTTTGAGCTTTTATGTATTTTTGTCTTGCCACGAAGGGAGAACTGAATTAATTGAATGAGAAATATATGAATTCGTATATCTAATGAAATTCGATGAAATGCAGCAAAAATGTGTATAATTTAATAGCGAGGAAGTCATATAATAACTTTAAAAAGTAATAGACTGATAGCAATTTATTAATGTCTTCTAAATCCATGTCGTCAAAATTTCCCATTTCTAGTGCTTTATCTATAACATATTCACAGTGTACGTTTTGAAGAAGAATAGAAGTACATGGTATAGTTGTTCTGTACTTTTGGTTTCTTTAATTGTCTTGGAAAGAATTTACATGATATTATTTTTATTGTTCACTTACTAGAACAGAGGCAATCTATCAAATGAATGACTGAACATAATAACTACATATTACATTTCTTTGAGAACCTTAAATAAGTACTTCATTAACTAGTTAAGTATTGGTATTTCAAGTTGATACCACTTTTATTTCCAGCTATCATGCAGGCTACCAAGGGAATAAGCTGCCATAACACTGGGCCCGGGCTCGAAGAAGACTGGGATGTATGTGAACGTATGTCTTTGCGGCAGGGGAACACTTAGAATACTTCCGAGATTCTTGAGGGATTGATGCTAAGGAAAGAAAAATGGAAGAATCTCGAAAGAAAACGGCTTTACCTACGCAGGGGTGAGAATGTGCCACAACTGCCGCTATTCCTGCAACTGTCAAACGTGAAACGACGTTTAGAATATCAGTCTGCACGCTTATGAACGTAATACTGAGTTCTGAGCTTTATTTCATAACTCATTAGACAGTTTTTTTCTTCTTCTAAATAAAGCTGCACTGTGTGTTTAGTACCCTAATTAAGATGTATTAAAGTGTGCTAGAAAGTTTACTTTGCTTTCCCAACATCTACTTTCACAAAAATAAATCTGAAACTCAAGATACTCATTTATTTATTTTTTGCCCTCCAAAATGCGCGCGGCAATTTAATCTAAAAGTAAAGGAATTTGTTTTAAAAAATCAATATTGTCTTATCGCAACGGCTACATATTTGCACAGTCAAGAAAAAACACCTGTCGGGAATGTATTTAAAATTAAGTTTTCTGCAAGCAGCAGTTTAAATTAAGTCGGCTATGACATCCATTTAAAGTACTGATACCTTATTTATTTTAATAATCTCTGCTTCTTTACAGAAAAATTTTTTGATTCTTAAGCTCGATATTTTATGCCTTGCCTTCCACCCCGGCATGTACAGTCTTATTTACTGAAGATATAATTTATTCCTGACTGAAAAGAAATAAAAGTGAAATTTTGAGTAATAACACTTTCAAACTTGTCGCAAAGAGGAAGGAATATAAACAAACATCATAAGCGCTAATAAAATGAAATGGTTTTTATGATGCATAAAAAATCTTAATAAACATGTTTCGAATCAATTATTTTGAAATATTAATCTTCAGAAGCGAGATTAGAGTTAAAAAAATGTCTTACGAAACCTGAATTGTCCTCATTAAACTGATCACAGTGAGAAATAAAAATCTTTTTCTTTAAACATTCTAATTTTTTTTTAATTTTGCAGATTTTCTTAACATTTCCAAATAGTAAACTATGCCTTTTTTGCAGTTATAAGCTAATACTTTGTGATCCTCAGTTTATTGTTTACAAATTTAAACGAAGAGCTAAATGTTTCATAGTATAGATTATATCTTTCCAAAATGATACGAGTGAAAATAATTAGCTTTTAGAGACCACTGAGGAAAAATTATAAGATCAAACAAATCGTTAGAAGTTCGGACATGCACTGCATGTCCTCCTTTCCTTCTAACAAAACATAATTCATATATAACCAGCTCAAGAAAGTATATGATTAGTAGTTTCCTAATTTAGTATTTGAACACAAAGTTTTTTATTATTTTTTAAGCGTACGAAAAATGTCCTGCATGATCTTCTGTATAGCCAACATATAATGGAAATTGAAGTAGTTATTATTTAGTGAATTCAGAGAAATTAAATTACTTTCTTGTTCTTATTGGAATGGTTGAAAAATAGGTAAAATCATCATTTTATCGTAGTATTTGAAAATTTAATGGACGTCATCAATTTGTGATATATTGTAAGATACACTACCCGACACTGAAAATGCAACACCAAGAAGGAGTGCCCAGAAAATGATCAAACTCGGCAAACAGAGACAGACAGCAACGAACAATAAGTGATCTTATTGTTTATATGCATAATACAGAGCATGTATTGATGATAATATGATATGCATAATACAGAGAGCGAACAACGTCGGCTGAGTGGGTTGTAGTTAGTTTAGTTTAGTGACGGAGGACGTGGGCACCACTCCTTTACCATTATGGTTAATTGGTTTAGCGCCACGTCCACCCTTATCTAAAGCTGACTCGTGTTAGAACCACACGAGATCCACTCATAGGGCACATTGATTAGTGTTACAAAACATAGATATTAAAAATGGTTACATCTGTGTGAACACAATACTTATGAACAAAACTTTAGCAAGTGACACATAAGATTACAATTCAATACCCTAGCAAGTAATTTTAGCAAGTTACATATAAAGTTTACAATTCAATACATAAAGAAGATATATCATACATAATGATTATATTATACTGTTGTGATTGATAAGTGACGACATTGTCAACATGAATTTACTAATGCAAAATTCAACATTTAAACTCAGTATACAAGAACATACAAATGCTTATATTTCATACATTGCCAACTTAAAAAATTTATAGTGGAGAAGTATAAAAATACTTAGATCTCACATAAGTCTCTATATTCTGAATGTCATTGTTAACTTTATATTACAGCTTACTACTAAAGACACAGTTATTTATTAAAATTGGATATTAATACAGTTAAATGAATAATTGCACTTAGACTATAAATACACTATAAAAACATCAATTCTTTACAATTTCTAAAACGCAATGATTCAAAACAATGATTATATGTGAATATTAGAACAATGATTCACTATAAATATACAATGATTCAATACTATTACTTAATGATAATACTATTCATATTATTAATCATATATGCCATGTTGACATCAAAATAATATTTTTTTTCATACAGGTGCTTATTACTGAAATGATGTTACATATTACTAGCAAGCAATTCAAAAATAAGATATGTACAGTACAATTTTACTTGCACATTGGAAATACTATACAAATAAATAATTCAATACAATGATTCCGTACGATTACTCATGAATAATTCAATATTATGATTCTATACGATTATTCAAATGCAATGATTCATTACAACAATTCTATGCGCTTATTAGAACAAAAATCTATATAATTATTAAAAATTTCAATATTATTGCTCAAATTAATAAAAATACCATTTATATTATAAACCTCACTACCAAGTGACACAAACATTTACCACCATTAATTAATCATTACAGCAATGATACTACATGTTACTTGAAAGCAGTTAATTATAAATTATGTACTGTACAGTTTTACCTTGCACACTGAATATTATAAATAATGTAATGATGCAATACAGTGATGTTATACTGCTTCTTTAGTACCAAAGCAATAATTATATGCAGTGACTGAAGTATAAAGATTACGATACAAGTATTCAGTGATTTAATATATATATTCAGATTTGTAGTAATACTATATATGTTATTAATAACATTTAAATATATGGTATAGTCATTTAAGTACCTATTATAGTACTGATGTTACATTTACTTGTAAAGAAATCAATTGTTAAATATGTACAGTACAGTATAACTTGCACTTTATTTGTTCATTACAATTCAGTGATTCAATAGAATGATTCTTTGTGATTACTAAAATATAATAATTTAGTACAGTGATTCTATGCATTTACTAAGTACAATGATTAATCATACCATACCAGTTAACACAATGATGCTATAAAACAATACAATTACTCTTATTCAATATGATTACTCTATTTAGTAACAGAACTATTCCGCTATCAATTATACTAGTTAGGTAAACATTAAAAGTAATAACCTTATCATCTATACGATCATCAATACGATTACTCTATTACAATGTTTCAAAACTATGATACAATAAATTAATACTATACACAATTTCTCTGATACAAAACGATTACTGTACTAAAATAATTATTCAGTATAAATGTAGCCGAGGGAGTCCACATAAAGGGATAATTCTTAGTTTTTATTTGCATTAGTTTTAGCACAGTTCAAGATAGTTTATTTTATGATATACTTTAGAGACATATATAAAATTAGATTTGACACAGGTCAGTGCCGAGGTCCATAAGTTTATTAACAATTTTGTTAATCTTTCGTACTGCATGCTTGTTATTAATCATGAACCTGCTAAATGCTTGCTCATTCGTTGGCGGGATCGGCAGGTGCAAATCAGTTGTTAGTGGGCAGTTAGCTACATAATGTTCGGGTGTGCCCAATTCACCGCAAATGCACTGTGCCGTATTTGTAATGCCAAACCTTTCAAAATATACAGGAAAAGGACCATGTCCCGTTATATACCGTACAAGTTGAGCATGTATTATGAGGCGATCATAAGTTACTGTGGGAATATGATAATAAACACGACGTCCTGTGTCGTCAGAGTTCCACTCTTCCTGCCACAGGGATTTGATTTTTTGCGTAAGATTTTTCTTTAGCCAGGAAATTGGCCAAGGTATCTTAATTTGTTCAGCATTTATGTTTTGCGCCGCTTCTTTGGCTAGCTGATCCGCCAGCTCGTTTCCTGTTTGGCCAGCATGGGCCTTTATCCATTGCAGCTTTACGTTTAAATGACTGTTGTCATGTAATTTCGACTGTATGTCTGCTATGAGCGGGGAACAGTGCACTGGATTTAAAAGTGCATGCAGAGACGATAAGCTATCTGTCAATATGAAGCTTCCATTATGTTGCTCCTGTATGATGTGGGTTAGTGCCCGGTCAATTGCTAACACCTCACTCTGGAACACACTATTATTGGTGTCCAGGTGACCTTTCCAAAGTGTTAGCGTGTCCAGGTTTCGCAGGGCTATGTAGGCACAGCCTGTGTTATCATCTATTTGGGAGCCATCTGTATAATATACTAAATCAGCATCCGTTATGTTGGTATTTTGCTTGAGATTAATGTTCACCCCTTTTCCCTGTTTCGCTGGATGATCACATAGCCGTATCAACTTCTTCTCATATTCCGCTGGGAAATAATTATCCTCATGGAGGGTTGCTGGTTGGCCTAATTGGGCGACTGTTTGATAAGTCGCTTCTTTTTCCACACTAAGATGCAACGGTGGCAGACCGGTCAATACACATAGTGCTTTAGTTGGGGAAGTACGAAATGCCTTGGTAATATTCAGTAAGAACGGTCGTTGTATGCTTAAGAGATGTTTTATCTTGCGACCTTGCATAGGTAATGACCAAACTGCCGCCCCGTATGTAACAATTTTTTCAATTACTGTTTTATACAGTACCTTCTGTATGTACGGGTTAAGGCCCCATTCGTGACCTTTCATAAACTTAAGTTGCTGAGCTATTCCCAGCGTCTTCTTCTTCAGTTCCATAATATGTGGTATCCAATTTAGTTTGATATCAAATACTATTCCTAGGTATTTCAGTTCTTTAACAATTCGAAGTCGATGATTATTCAAAGTTATTTTTGGTTGTCTTGCGAGCGTACCTCCCTTTTTGGGAACTAGAAGTATTTGTGACTTTGCTTCAGATATCTTGAGTTTAATTTCTGCACATCTCTGATGAAATAGCGAGCAGGATTCTTGGGCGTTGGTCTGAAGTTGTTCTCTTGTTCTACCCCGAACGATGAGTGCAGTATCATCGGCATACGCAATGATGCGCGTGTGCTCTGGCCACGCATTGGT